ACAGGATCTACAAAGACTTGACAAAATGTTTTCTAAGGATGGCTCCAAAACATGAACAGGTTTCTATCTCCACATTCTCAAATATTACTTGGGAACTTTCCCCCCTTACTTCTTCTTCCCCCAGCTTTATGCTGAGCATGATGCCATAATGGTATGGGATATCCCTTTGGTCAGCCCAAAATCAGGTATCATCAAGTAACGATTCTCCAGCCCAGCAACACAAATAATCATGAAACAAACTGCTTAGCCATTGCTTCTTGCATATTCCTACAGCTACTTTTCCCCTGAAGTGGTACAGTTTACAACCTGATCTATTATGACAATGTGAGCCTCTTCTAAGAGCACCTGACCAGCAGATGTTTACTGATACATTTCTTTGTATTGTTTTATTTCACTAACTCTTGTTCAGAGTCAGTTTGAACATCTGTTTCAATCTGCACCTGCCACTATGCTTGGCAATCCCCACATTTATTTACAATTCTTTATTAAAGTCATTCATCTATGAACATGCATTTTGAAGCCCATTGTTATTTTCTCATCTAAGAAGTTTGCTTTGATATCTAAGTTCTGCCAGGATCTCCACGAGCCAGCAAGCACTATAGCTACAACAGCAGCACTCATTTTGGCTCCCATCAGTTTTTTGCTACCTGCCGAACAGTCCAAACGTGCAAGTTTTTCCAGGGTGGTTAGGACAAATGAAAACTGATTGCTAACATCATGCATTGAGGCCAAAAGAAAAGCTTGACCTGCTTAAGTGCTCACAGACCAGAAGTTGGCCCACTGTCCTTACTGCCCCACAATGTGTGACAAGTTCAAACACCACAGCTAGGGGAGGAAAACCTGGCTCCATTTCTTTTCCCTTCTGTCATTAAAACAGCCTCAGCAGTTCCCAGGCAAGTCTACTGGATCACAACTGAGCACTGCTGCAGCTGTATGGATGTAGGAATTTAAAATTTTACTCTTGCTTTCCTGTGTTACACAAGCACAAGAATGGACGTGTGAGTTTACACAAGCATTAGCAGATACTCTTGGAACAACCTCCTGTTTGTGGGGATTTCTTTTCTCCTCAGTCCTAAAGAATTTATCACCAACATCTCAGATGCTACTGGTTCTCAACAGAACAACAAAGTTTTAGGAATGTACAGGGCAGGAATTTATTGATGCATTTAGAAGTCTCCTTTAACACCCAAATGAGCATTTTCTAATAGGCTGTAATGTTCCTTTACTATCTCATTTCAAGAAGCCTTCACAAGTGGTATCACCAGAGGTTTCCACCAGCTTTCCAAGAAAAAAAACAAAGGGAAAGGCTCTAGGACTTCCACACTGCGTGCACTGTAATGTTTCTTGATAATATTTCCCACTGACACAGAGTATAATATACTCAAATTACACCATCAATACGTATTCAGCATAAGCATCAACTCTACCAGGAGCGACTATCTTTTGAGCTATTCATGCTTTTCTTTTATTAACGGAGATCATTTCAATCCTTTGCTTATAGCTCTTCCTGCCTACACTTGGTCCAGAAAACAGCTAAAAACATTAAAAAATATTTTCAACAGTGCTGGGATTTCAGACTATCTAGCCACCTCTGCTCTAGGTTCTGATGAGAAGACAGCCCTAACTTCAGAAGCTTGGACTATAAACAAACTAGAATAAGAATTGGTATGTCTTAGTCAAATATAAATTCAAGGGAAAAGTTAAATGTGTTGTGTCTTAAATCTGTCTAGTAGAGAAATTAGAACAGCTTTCCAACATCTAGCAACTTAGGCACACAGCGCTAGGTTTACAATAAGCATACCCTTGTAAAACTGTCCTAAGGAACTTAAGATAATACCTGTGTGACATACTTTCTGAAAATGAAAAATTCATAACAGACGCATAAATCTGAAAGTAAGTGCCCTAACATTTTCATATGCTCTTTTGAAAGAAACAAGGCTCATGTGACCGTGCAGTCCCTCAACAGCCCTCAATAACTTGCTCCTGGTGACCAGTCCCAAGCAGATTTGACAGCAGGCCATGGTTCCCACAGCTCCTCCAAGCTGCCAACCTAGCCAGAGGTTTTCACTTCAAAAAAAAGCAAAGCATTGAATTAGCATCCATACCAGAAAGGAAGCTGCAGTATTAGCCTAATTATTTTATTTGCTCTCCCAGAGAGGCTGGCTGCTCAGAACAGAAGAGCTGGGCAGACAGCAAACAGGTTTTCCACCAGGTACAGCAGGATGCTACCTTTGTCCAGGGAAAGACACAGAAGGCTTTATGCATCAAAACAGCAGAGAAACAAAACAAGTTAAGAACTTGCAGGGAGAAACTGCAGTCGTTACAGCACTGAAAGATTATAGAGGTTACAGAAAGAAACAGGGATACTGTAGTGGAGGAGATACAAGGCACAAGATTTGTTAATCCCCACCGCCCACCCAGCTTCATCAGTTTTAAGACTCAAGGAACCATTTGTTTGTTTATTGCCATGTGTCACCACATACATAGAGAGAATGCAATATACTGTGCAATAACAGGGCTGGCCACTCCACAGTCATTGATACAGTTCAGGAAATCACACTGCAGTACATGCTGTATTAACCTTTTCTGGAAATTATGGCATTCTCTGAAAGGGCATTTATGAGCTTAGTATTACTTCAGGGTATAAGTAGAATGTTTATGACTTGACAGCCTTCATCCATGTTCACTTCATTTAACATAACAGCAACTTTCATTTACTAGTTTCCCTTCAGCAAAATTAGTTTAGGAAATCTGACTCTGCCACTCATCTAGAAACAGATTTTCCTCTTCAATTCCCAGAGGAACTGTATTTGCAACCATCTTTATGTTGGAGTTGGCAAAACAAATAGGGCATTCATTTCAACACTGGCCATTAAATTGGCATTTTGTTTTCTGGCCTTTTTTTTATTAAAACCACTTTTTTATATAGAAAAAATAAAAGCAGCTCCCATCTCCAACTTCTTATCCCTCAAAGTCAGTTTGTGTTCTTATAAACACTGCCTTCCTAGTTAAAAAAAAAAAAAACACAAAAAAAACAGCTCTGGACAAAGTGGACAAAAGATGAGATCATCATCCTTCCCTGTCTCCCAAAGGAAAGAAGGCACAAGAATGCCTGTGAAACCCCCAAAACAAAGATACATTAAGACTTTCTGTAAAATGTTGAAAACTATCACTAAGATATACTGAGTATCAGTTAACTACATGAGGAATGCACATGGTCACAATTCTAATGGCACATGGTACAGCATAACTAATAAACTGAAGCAACCTTCCATATGTTATCACTTTCTACTCTGCACAACATCTGGAAATGCAAATGTTGCACAACAGGATATTATAGAACATTTAAAAAAAGAAAGGATATTTCACGTTCAAGTTATTTTTTCTATTAAGGCTTTGAGAAACTCTGAAGTGCAGTCATTCACAGACACTGCTGCACAGGAAGCCTTTTTGGAGGAGAAGCAGTCTCTGAAAATACACAATTAACAAAGGCTGACACGAAAATACATAAACAAGTCATGTGGGTATTTTGCTTTGGTTTAGGGTGAAGAGGTTTTGCAAATCCAAGGTATCATGACAAACACCTTAAAGTTCTGGAGAAGACCAGACCAGTTTTGATACTGCTGATGCTTCTTTGCAGTATTTTTTAAGGTTTTATCTTCTGGAGAAAAAAAGCAAATTCAAAAAGCCACAAAAATCAAGCAACCAGCAAAAAACCCCACAGATCACCTTCTCTCCTCACCAATTAATATATATACAGAACTAATTAACAGGAAGTGGATTGTTAATTATACTTTTAAAGAAAAGAGCCTAATGAGATCTCTAGCAAGCAGAGGAAACAATAACATCTAATGGGAATACAACTGTATTTTAAATCCTCAGGCAAACTTAAGAGGTGTAACTAAAATCTTTTAGAGAGACTCCAATCATGTAAGCACAACTGAGGACAAATCAGTCTAAGACTTCCTTTACCAGATAAGTAAATTAAACCATTCAGCTACACTTTAAAATAAAGACTAGACCTGTCAAAGACACGCTCAAGTCCACTCCCTGGAACTCCTCAAGACATTTCATAAAAACCAAATAAACCCCACAAGGCGGAAACCACCTAAACCATTCAGGAACTCCACTTCAAACACAGGAACTCTGAATATGCATGCATCACAAACCAGGCAGCAAGACCTTTCTGAGAGGCAGTCCTGCTTTGCCATGAGATAAAACAGAGCAAGGTCTGACATCTCATAAAATTATATTTCCTGACACAGGCTCTAGAATGACTAATCATACATGAGGCCACTGAGTCTTGATTATAAAGTATGACAGAGTCTACAGGTTGCACAGCTCTCACGAAGGAACTGATACAGACAGAAGGCAATGTCTTCCCACCACAGTACACAGATTTTCCACATCACTTTAAAAAAATACCTTGAGAGGAAGCTAATTAATGAAGGGGTGAGGACTGAGAGTGAAAATAACTTACAGGAATTCAAATATGTCTTTGCAAAGGAAGAGAAGTAAAAACAAAAACCCTTAGAAGCCAGTGGCAAAACCTTTATTGACTTCAACATCGTAACTTTCCTGCTCATGTTTACCATTTGCTATTTCTAACTCATAACACCTCTAATCTTGCATTTGACAAACTAAGAACCATTTCAAGTGTTCTTCACAGGATGTTTATACTTAACAATTACTTAACCTTTCCACACAAGTTATCTTGTTCTATTTGATTAAGGGTTTGAGATGCCTTTCTTGTCCTTACCTTTTCATAAAAATAAGTTTTAATAAGAAAGCATTATTACTGGTATTTACATAACAGTAAATCAGCACCGATAGAAACGGATGCATTTCGCTAGAAATTTACAGCAGTTCTCAAAAAAACGTTGTTTTGCTATCGTAACTATCTGACTGCCCTCATCCCGAGGCAGAGGCCATCAATGGTTTTGAAAGAGTGCAGGAAAAGACAGGAATGCACCAAAATATTGTCATCCCATGGTACTCACCCTAACAGGAGGGCTCCGTGCTTGCACCCTTTGCTGCTGTCCAGCTTGAGAGCTCTGCAGGTCCTTCGAACCACAATTAGCTACAGTGTTGATGGGGACCCTTAAAGCATTTGTGCCAGCAGTCCCACCACCAGCGCTGGGTTTTCGAGGCCTCTGTTTGATGCCATCCAGGAGTCTAACAAGCAGGATATTACTGGGCAGTTCGTCAACACTGCAGTCCACTAGAGTCCTGCACTCTGGACATCGCAGCTCGTTCCGAGAGCTCACGATGCCCAGCAGACAGCGTTTACAAAACGTGTGTTGGCAAGGCAAGACTTTTGCAGAGGCATCAAGGCGTTCTAGGCAAACAGGACACTCCAACAGATCCAGCAAAGCTGATTCATCCATTTTCTCTGTATTACTTAATGAAAAAACAAATCTTTGCAGAATGTGTGTTTTGAGAACTCCAAGGATATCATGTTACATCCATTCCTCTTCTGATCATGCTCTAAAATGTTTTGAGGGAAAAAGGCATTAACAAGCTGGAAAAAGAGTCAGCAAGACCATTTTATATGAAGATGTTCATACAAAGAGCAAATGAAAAGCTCTCTAGAGCAATTCAGTAGGTACTTTCAATAAATGAAACATCAGAATAGCAATAAGAGCAACCTACATAAATATATCTATTTAGTTAAAATAGTCTAACAAATGCAAACATTCACATCCCCATAAATTTCAGTCTCGAGTGATTTTATTTTCTCCAATTATTCCTGAACAAAGTGCTATCCCCAGCACAACATTATAATAAAGCTTACCTCTCACAGCTCTTGCCTAATACGTGTGTTTCCCTGAACATTTACTTGAAATTAGCTTTTATTCAGAAGATGGCAAAGGTAACTACAACCACGTCCAAAACCGCAGAGCATATACCAACGGGGCACAGCAAGGGGAATTACATTAATGCCAGGATTAAGCCAACAGCGAGCTACATTTCTACCGTTTGTGTGGAAAGTCCTGCAGCACACTACACAGACCAGCCTTGAACAGAGGCTCACAGGGTTTTCAGCTTACCGCAGGCACTCAGAAGAGGGTTCATCGCAGTGCCGCCTTTAAGAAACGCTTCGAAAACTATCGCCAAGTGATTTACAGCAGGAAGTGCTGCTGCCCTATCGCTAGGACAACACGGGGGCTGCGTATGCAGCACAGAGGCAGGGGCGAGCCCCCGGCCAGCCTCGGCGCACGCAGCAGGGGCTGGGGATCGGCGGGGGAACCACCG